TTTTCTCTCTCTCTCTCTCTCTCTCTCTCTCTCTCTATCTCTCTCTTTTACTACTACTATCACTACAGCTACTGCTGCTGCTACTACTACTACTACTACTATTACTACTACTTCTTCTGCTACTACTACTACTACTAGTACCTGCTCATTTGTAAGCCTTCAATTTCAGACATTCATTTGATCGAGGTAATCAATGGAAGATAAACGGATAACGTCATTTTATGATTACGTCATAATAATAATAATAAAAATAAGAGTACGAGGAAAAACAATAATAATAATAATAATAATTATTATTATTATTTATTCATTCATTTATTTGAAAAAGACAAACAAGCGACACTTTAATTACGATATTTATTTAACAAAGGACGCTCACAAAACTGAAAATGTCATCTAGAAGAGGAAAGATGAAACATTTTTTCTAATTATTAAAAATTTCTCAAACTAAATACCCTGCCATCATATTTCAGTGTACATATAGTAAATAAACGAGGCAAACATAAACTCTTTTTATTGGAAATTCTTCTTCTTCTCTTATTCTTCTTTTTCTCCTCCTCCTCCTCCTTCTTCTTCGTTTTATTATTATTATTATCATCATCATTATTATTATAATATATACCAGCAATGACTAGCAAGTAGTCCAATTCGATCGAAATAGTTTAATAATTAATTTTGTTATTACTAGCAATTTAATCTCATCATTAATTTTACAATACAATACCGTTTTTAAGATGTAAAAATACCATCAGTTGCAGGTGAAGTCAAAAAAAGAGTTAAGATTTTTGAAAAAATCGGAATGCAACATGAACAGGAACGACGTTGATAAAATATAAATATTTGTATATATTGATAATTAAATAGTTCATTCATTCAATCAATCAATCATTTGTTCGTTCGTTCGTTCGTTCATTCATTCATTCAATCGTTCATGCGTTTACTTGATTATCTATTCATTTTCTCCATCACTCATCCAGTTATTTATCCGTGCATTCATCTATTCTTTCACGGGTTGTTTCTTTTTTCTTTCTCTCTCTCTTTTCTCTCTTTTCTGCTCTTTTTCTGCTCTTTCTCTCCTCTCTTTCTTTTTTTTTCTCTCTCTCTTTTTTTTCTGTTTAAGTTGACTTTTTTTCTTTCGACACATTTTTCTTAAAAGTTTTTTTTTCAAGTTTCCTCCAATAAATAAAATAAAATTGAACTGAGGCGAATTAATCAATATTAACAAAGGACTGAAAATGACGTCATCATCGGCATCGCCACAACAAAAATATCAACATCCTCACCACTACATCTACAACAACAACAACAACAACAACATCATTATCACCACAATTACAACAACAAAACAACAACATCCTTATCAACACAACTACAACTACAACAACAACTACAACAAAACAACATCATTATCACCACAACAACAAAATCATCATCATCATAACATTATCATCGTCTTCAACCACATCTTTTCCTCTTACAACATGTCAACACTTCTTTAAATTCAGCCTTAAAATTGTCATTCAGCCATCCATACAATAAGGGGTTGACGCAGGCCGAGATCAAGACCATCAAGAGACACGCCGGCGCAATGGTATGACCCGTTATATCATGCAAATAGAGGGCGAAGTCTATATTGAAATCTGACAGGAGGGTGAAGATGTTAAGGGGTAACCAGCTGACTGCAAAAAAAATTGCGATTGTTATTAGCAGTAGACCAGTTTTGCGGTTTTTCGTTTTTTTCTTTTTCTCGCGAATCTCGAGTCGGTTTTTTTTCGCAGACGTCGGTATCTGTCGAGTTGTTGGCGGTTTTATTATCGAATGCAATTGTATGTTGTTGTTGTTGATGATGTTGATGTTGTTGTTGTTAATGTTGTTAATGTTGTTGCTGTTGATGTTGTTGTTGCTGTCGCTGTTGTTGTTGTTAATGTTGATGATGATGCTGTCGCGGATGATGTTGTTGTTGTTGATGATGTAGTTTGGTTTTTTCCGAATTAAGTCGTCTTCATCGAGCTGTAAGGCTTCAGTTTTTTGTTGAGGAATTTTGTTTAAATTGTTGTTGTTGTTGCTGCTGTTGATTACTGACGTTGATGTTGTTGTTGTTGTTGATGACATCAACAAATGAACATTTGAGATGGCACTCTCATTTAAGGAATATCTCCTGTCGATATTTAGTGTGTTATGTTCTCTACAGTTATTATTATTACCACAATTGTTGTTGTTATTGTTGTTGTTATTATTATTATTGTTGTTGATGTTGTTGTCATGAGATAAATTTTGACACGAGCTATAATTAAGCTGAACAGTAAATGCTGAAATTGTTATGTCATCTCTATTGCAACTATCGTTATCAGTATTATTGTTGTTGTTGTAGTTGTTGTTGTAGTTGTTGTTGTAGTTGTTGTTAATATTCAGCAGTTGTTTCTGGCGACTTTGTTGTTGTTGTTGACGCCGTAAGTTAAACCTAGGTCTAGTGCTCTTATTTTTATTATTATTATTACTATCTAAGTCGTTGTTGTCGTTGTTACTTTTATTATGATTATTTATGACGTCATGATCATTAGTTAGACGACAGTCATTATCGCCATCGTTAGTGCGAATGTTGACATCATCGTCGCTGTCGACTTTTTCATTAGCGATATCGTCGTCATCATTACTATAACCAACCCCACCACCACCACCACCATCATCATTACCGCCTTTACGATCATCATCAGCATTATTATTATTATTATTGTTATTATTATTATTCTTCTTCTTATTATTATTATTATTATTATTCTTATTTTTCTGGACGTCGTTTAAACATTTATGTAAGTTCAGATTGGTGGAAGTGTATTTGCAGTGCCTTGACAGCTGGAGGCTTTTATTATTATTATTTTTATTATTATTATTATTATTGTTGTTGTTATTGTTGTTGTTGTTGTTTTGATTGTTGTTGTTGCTATCACTGATGGTATTAGTATTAGTAGTAGTTATAGCTTTAGCAGCAGTACTAATACTAGAACCAATAGTATTTGTAGTTGTAGTAGTTGTGTTAGTGGTGAATATTGTTGCTGTAGTCGGAACGTTCTCGTTGTTTGCAATGAAGAAAGTGTTGACAACCGCTGTAGTAAACTTCGCTGATGTAGTAGCAGTAGTCGTAGTAGTGGTAGTAGTATTTGTTGTAGTAGTAGTAGCAGCAGCAACAGCAGCAGCAGCAGCAGCAGTAGCAGTAGTAGTAGTAGTAGTAGTAGTAGTAGTAGTAGTAGTAATGTTAGCAATTTTCGGGTTTATTGTTGTTTTAATCAGGTTGTCATCAACGTTGCAAATAAAATTTTTATCTTCTTTTTTATTCGAATGTAAAATACTTTTTCCTGTCAAACTTCCTCTCGTCAGAGCAGTTTGAGATGCTCTTTTAGATTTCGTCTCGTTAACGGAAGGTTCGTCTCGTCTCGTTTCGAATCGGCAGTTTAAGTTAGACTTTCGCGGCTTGTTTATGATTCGGTTTTTTAGCTTTTTGTTGATCAGAATGTGAGATGCCGTGACGACGATGATGGGGGCCAGGTAGAGCAGCAGCATTGAAACCACCGAGTAAATCTTCCTGATCTTTGATAGTTTGCTATTCTCCACGCACATCTGAGACGTTGGAAATTATGTGAAAATGATGCTATAATATAATTATGTTATAAAATAATTATGTTATAATAAAATTATATTATAATATAATTTTGTTTTAATATAAAAATTATGTGAAAATTATAGTAAATTAAAAAGTATGTGAAAAATTTTAAATAAAAATAAAATAAAATAGATGAAAACAAACAAAAAAATAACATCTTAACACCGCGTTCTTAGAGTCTGCCTGCATGTAAGAATGTTTGCCAGAATAAAATTTATGCCTTGTTATAACTCTTGGGTGCCTCGAATAGATTCTTTTCCTGACCATGTTTTACTAGCTTTCATTTCTTTGTTTCTCTCTTTTCTTTCATCTATTTCTATCTTTTTTTATGTTTTTTTGCTGCCGCCCTTTCAGCCATTTTCTTGTTTTATTTCTTGCTCTCTTTCTCTCTCTCTCTCTTTATCTCTCTCCCTTCCCTTTCTCTCTTTCTCTTCATCTAGTTTTATTTTGTGTTTTTATGTTTATAGTTTTTTTATCTATTTTTTTCCTGCTTTTCTGCTTTGTGTCTCTATCAACTTTTCCCATTCTCGATATATTTTTTTCCTATTGTTTGCCTCTTTCTCTTTCTGGCTCTCTGTTTTCTTATCATTTTCTTTCTATCTCTCTCTCTCTTCTTTTTTTTTATTCACTTTCTCATCCATCTCTTAACAACTTTTTTGCTTTATTTTACTGATTTGTTTGGTGTATCTGACATCTTAAGTTTTTACATTTTACGGCGAGTTTTTTCATGAATCTCAAAAAAATCATTTTTATCAGCTTTTGGTTAAGATTGATTGATGTATAAGTATTCTTTCCTACAATTATTTGTAGTTTTATGCCAAAAGGATCAACAACAACAAACACACAGTGCAGGCAAACACACGTGTTCCAAAGCACCCCACACACACAACAATGTGTGTGTGGTGTGATATGCGGGTATGTCGTTGAAATCGAATCCGGTCAAAGCAGAAGCAGCCCTGGACATCCTAACCACTATAACTACTTTTATTTAATAGATTTTAAAGTATTTTATCTTAGACATCTTGACAATTTTTCCTAATCCTCTTTCATCATAGTCACTTTTTCATCTTATTTGTCCCCAAGTTGCATTTTTTTGGTTTTCGGTGGAGACGGTTTTTCGACTCTTACGTTATTAGTTTTTTTGTTTTTCATTTTTTCATCCATTTTTTGACACTCACTCATACGTTTACTCATTCATTCATTCATTCATTCATTC